TCGAAGAGCATTTCCAAGAGAATACTCTAGCAATATGCATATCCAGCCTTAGCCATTCCGTCCACCTTACGCGTCAGGCAGACATCTGCTGTCTTAGGAACGGGCCTATTACTTCCTAGCAAATGCCGAACTTTATTTTGGCTTGGTCAAGACAAAGTCCAAAGACCAGTCTGTGGGTCACCTTTGAAGCAGCACGGTATATTTAATGTTAGTCAGGGGTTTAATCTTCTATGGTATCTGAATTCCCCCTAATTTTCATTTTTATCCACTTATCTCATTTTTAAAAATCTCATTAAGAATGCTAGGAAATGTCTGTGAAAAGAGGCAGGATATAAATAACAAAATATCGTAAGAATAGAGAAAGAGAGCTTTCCAAGCCTCAAGGATCAATTGTAGCATCAATATTTTACAAAATGGAGAAAAACTTGATTTTGCTTCATGTTACAGTACAACTTTAAGGGTTTTACTTTTATTTTTGGCTGGCACTGTCACTGTGCCAAAGTAGAAGTTGAGCGATCAACTGACCATTCATTCAGACAATGAGTCAACTACTCCTCTTTATGGGTTGTTTTTTTTTGTTTTGGTACCAGGGATTGAACTTGGGTCTTTGCACTTGCGTGAAACCACTGAGCTAAATCCCCGCCCTTATGGGTTTTTTTTTTTTTAATGCTGGGGAGCGAACTCTCGGACTTTGCACTGAGCTGCACCCCCAGCCCTTTATTTTATTTTTTAAATTTGAGATAGGGTCTCACTAAGTTACTAAATTGCCCAGGCTAGGCTCCAGTTTGTAATCCTCCTGCCTCAGCCTTCTAGAGTTCTGGGACCAGAGGTGTGCACCACCAACACCCAGCTTCTTTATGGGGATTCCAATCAGGCAACCCATGCATGGGCTTTCCTGCCCCGATGGCTGAGATTCTTTTGAGCCCAAAGATAGGTTTAAAACATTGACGGGGGTAGAAGAGGGACATCAAGACTTGACTGATGACTTTCAGCTAATTTAACAAGCTCTTGTCTAAGTTTTCTGGGATAAATATTGTCGGCTGGTCAATAAAGGTAGCCAGAGGACACTGAAGAACAACACAGGGTTGGTAAGTGTCACGGAGCATCCTGAAACAACCGAAAACACAGAAGCGAATCATTTCAATCCATAAAGCCCCAGTTTCATCGACTTAAAAACACAGTCACTTAGCTGTGTTCTAAGAACCAACAGGAACCCTGCAGAGGAGGCCAGGACAGAATCCACTTTGATCTTGGACAATTATTTAGCCCTTTCTACACTTCAGTTTCACAATCTATAAAATGGGCTCATAATAACTACTCAGGATCGCTGGCAGAATTAAGTGAGGTAAAAATATATAAAACGCTATTACAGTCAGTGGCATTATGAGCACATATATTAAGTGCTCAACGTACGACATGACTTTTTATTATTTAAAGCATTACTATCCTGGTCTACAAAAGAATACTTACCCGTTGTAATGGCGTTCAAGTCAGTTAATGAACACAGATGCCAGTAAAAGAGGTACAATAGGAAGCAGGAACAATTATGATTGCGAGGAGAGAGAGCAGTTAACACAACCATAATAAATTCTGCTAAGCTGTTTCAGACAGTATGAGTCAATTGTAATATGACAGATGCTTTTTAAGAGCAATAAAACCTGTTGAGTCTTCATCCCATGACAACTATTGGATATAATATGAAATCTGACAAGATGTGTGGCACTCTGGAACAAACAGCCGCCTTCCAACACATTTGGGGGCGGCGGGGAGATAAGACATTGACAGCCCTAAACCTTCAAGCTCTGCACCTTAGCTGACAGATATCTGAGTCCTGCTCCTAGAAGGGGCGGTCACTAATCTGGAGATGTCCCCTGCAGGAAAAAGGCCGCCTGTGCCTCCCCAGAAACTGAGTGCCAGGCCGGCCCTGCTCCGCCCAACACCACCAGGAATTTTCCTTCCCTTTATCCACCTTCAACGTGGGGCCAAGAGGAGCAACTCTCCTTAGCGACCCTGAAGCCCAGCGTGGAGCTGCCCTCCCAGGGCTCGCCCGCGGCACACCTGCACCTTCCCCACCTCCCCAGTGGAATGAAAGGACCGGTTCCCTCCACCCGGAGCTGCCAGGAACCCGCCCGGACCCTCCGCCTGCCCAGCTGCCCTGACAGACGCGGCTGCTCGCACAGTTACTGCTGAGCTCCCAGCACGTGCGATGGACCAGGCCACGCACCCGCTTAAAACATCCAGCGACCACGCGCAGGCTCAACGTGGGCTTCCTTCCCTCACGTAAAGGTACTTGGGACCCTTGAAAATGAGGAGACTGAAGTGTAAAATGACAACCAGTGATGGGAACCAGTAATGGCCAGAGTGGGAAGTCACTCGCCTAAGTTCAAGGGGTGAGTCCTCCACCGGGCTGGCTGTGGCGATGCACACCCGCGATCCTAGCACTCTGGAGGCTGAGCTAGGAGGATGGCGAGTTGGAAGACAGGCTTGACTACATAGCAAGACCTTGTCCAAAAAATTTTAGAGAAATAAAAAAATAAAGAAGAGAAGAAGAAGAAATAGAGGAGGAGGAGGAGGAGGAGGAGGAGGAGGAGGAAAAGAATATCGTCCATGGCTTCTTTTCAAGTCTGAAGTTTTCCCAGGCCCTTGGAAAGTTTTCCACCCTCAGGGAGGAAATCAGTGGTCTTGAACTAGCCACATACACTGTAAGAGGGTCCTGGGTTATGAAAGGAGCTTTACGTGTTTACATCACCTGGCGCACTCGGACACCGTAAAAGTTTCCGGAAACCAAACCCATATCACGCATACATATTATACATACACTGTAATATTTATATTCGAAAATAAGTGCGACTCAAGCACATGGACCTTTCAGGGGTTTCAAGTCTTCAGCAGAAAAGGGAGGCTCCTCCTCGCCCCCCCTTTCTCCTGCCCCCTCCCGAGCTGCCCCAGAAAACCCCGAGGGGCCTCACGAGGCCAGGGGGACACTCAGACCACGTTCCCTGGGCGATTTGTGAGAAGCAGCATGTGCTTTTGCAGATTCTCCGGTCATACTTTTAGACAAAAGCTAGACTTCAGAAGAAGGCCAGGAAGGAAACAGGGACCGGGCAAGCACAAAGTAGTTGTAGTTTTTGAGCGGAAAGGGTCAGAGTCAGGAAGATTGTGGGGGAGACATGCATGGCTCAAAGGCTTAGCAGTGCCTGGGAGGGGAGGCTTCGAAGCCGGGCTCGTGCATTTGCACTTCAAGGATTCCCTGTTCAGCTGCCAGAGAAGCTGACCCTGAAAAACTGGAAGATTTCATATGGAAAAGCGAACGATCCAGCGACTCTGGGCCCATTTGCCTCCTGGCAGACTCAGGGGGACGCAGAGGCCGCTGCTCCGCAGTGCCCCCAGGTGGCCGCTGGCGAGTGGTTCGCCTCGGCGCCCCCCACCCCAACCAGGAGGGCAGCGTTTACTTCTCCCTCCCCTGCCACGGAAACACTGGAATTCAAGGCGATCAAGCCCACTCGTTCTATAAAGGACATAAAGGCCCAGCGTGGGAAGTCACTTGCCTAAGTTCACACAGCGTTTCCCTTAGCTCCAACCTAGCCCTTTGATCTTGTTTTTAGCGCAGAATCTAGAGCAAGGGAAACCGTCTTGCCCCTAAACGTCCTATTCCAACCCTGGGACTGTAGGACTGGTTGGTCTTTGACACCGGGCCTTCATGGATAGTCACTTTGTCACCCGGCTCACATAGGTCGTGCGCATCCTCCCGCCGTCTCTGCACACTGTGGACTCGCGGGGGGTTCTAAGGACGTGCATTATCAACCCCTTTGTGCAGACAGGGATCTAAATGAGGCTCGGACCAGGGGTCACGGACCGGCTGAGCTGCACTTGATCAAGGTCCGGGGTGAAGGAAAAGAATGGTGAATGTTAAATGTTTAAAAATTTACTGCAGTAAAAGACACGTTGCCATGAATCCCCCTCAAAGTGCTCCCCCTTGCTTCGTACACACGTATTGTACCTTTCTTGTCACTTTCTGAAGCAGTTCTGGAAGTCCGCTTCCTGAGTGTGGTTAGGATCGAAAAATACAGCGGTTGCCGCAGCCCAAGACTGCCCACCAGCAAGGCGAGCTCTTAAAACATTGTGGTGAGTCTTCATCCCCTTGTTCACTAGATCTGGCACTGTGTAACTTCTGGGTGTCTCCCAAAGTCAAAATGACCGGGAAAGGTAAACATTTTGGATTGATTCAAGCCATCAAAGCAGTCACTACCACACAACTGAAGTACATTAGAAAGGACTCCCCAGAACTGCTTCAGAAAGTGCCAGAACAATGGATAAGTGTGTTTGAAGCTAGGGGGAATAGAGACAATGAGTCTTTTATTGTAATAATATTTTTGTTTAAACACAGTATTTTTCTATTGTACTTGCAGTATGCCTTTGTGCCTCGCAGATAGGCACAATCTTTCCCAGATAAACAGAAATTCAAAACTCATTGGCTTGAACATCAGGAAGTGATAGGGTAGTGGGGAAAACAGGTGGAGGGCCCCCTATGTGCCTGGAGTCGACACCGGGCTTTGCCTATGGCAGCTGCTCTCATCTGCCTCGTATGTTTTGATCTCTCTAATGTGTAAAAGACTACTTGCTTAATACTGCTTGACGTTTTAGGTTTCGGTTAAATTTTACTAAAATGGTCCCTTGGTAAGATGTATTTTATACCCCTGTGTGGATTCTTAGAAGGGTCCTTCATTTTCTACTCATCTTTCTTCCTTCTCCTAGTTTTATTTACCTGTGAGGAGGTGTCTATCAAAATACAGGAATCACAAGTTGGATTGGTTTCTGCAAACCAAATGAGTTGCACTTATATATACTTTTCCCAAAAGAAATTAGGAGACAAATTGCATTCTACGGGATTTTAAAACAAACAAAAAAACCCATAAAGAATATTGTGCAGGGTACTTGGGTACCAAAGCAGGCAGCTGTCTTAGAAGCAGCAATTGTTAGTACATCCAGAAAATGCTTACCACCCATATTAAAACCAGTCTTCTGGATAAATAAGGATCGATATTCCAGTGAGTGAATGGAAGGAATGTGATGTAGAACACTTCTTGACCCAAAGCTGCTGAAAATCTGAAGAGGTAATAGTAGAAATAGTTCTTCACAATGTACTTCTGCCCGTTAGCCTGCAAGACAGAAGAACGCTGTGTAAGTTCATTCAACACGACACTGGGTGGCGTGTTTGAACACCCCCTGCCTCTTACGACCCTCTACTGCTAAGGTGGTGCCTCCCTTTTCACTGCCTTGCTGTGGTTTCCTTGCCATCACTCCACACGTGGTCGAGTATCTTTCAACCCCAATTTGCCCACACAAATTAGTTCTTTTTCAAATTAAGTAACATCTAAGACAGAAGTGCCAAGAAAAGGCACACGAAGCCAAGCCTTGTGTATACAGAAGGGGGGAAACTTGAGGGCACCTGGGTATGTTAGAGCACTGAATGAATTCCTGACTCCAGTGGGCCCTAATCCCTAGAACCTGAGAATATATCACCTCATGTAGCAAAAGGGACTTTGAAAATATAATTACATTGATGAACTTGAGACAGAGAGATTATTGTGGGTTATCTGCCTGGATGCAAATTCCAAGGATTCTTTTTTTTTTTTTTGTACCAGGGATGGAACTCAGGACCTTCTGTCTGCAAAACAGGTTGCAGAACCACTGAGCTAAATCCCGGCAGGATTCTTAATATGATAGAAGGAGGAAGCAGAAATGTCAAAGTTAGAGAGTGATTTGAAGACAGTAACACTGCTGGCTTTGAAGGTAAAGGAAGGGACCACAAGTCAAGGACTGCGAGTGGCCTCTAGAGATTTAGCTAGGGGGGAAAAAGCAAGGGGGCAGATTCCCTCCTTGAGTCTCCAGAAGTAATGCAGCTCTGAAGACATCTTGATTTTAGCCAGGTAAGATCTGTTTTTTGGGTTTTTTTGAGACAGAGTTTCACTATGTAGTTCAAACTGACCTTGAACTCACTATGTAGCCCAGACTAACCTTGAACTCACCACAATCCTCCTGCCTCAGCCTCCCAAGTGCTGGGATTACAGGTGTGCACCACCCCCGGCAAGATTTGCTTTAGACTGGGCTTCTAGAGCTTTAAGAAAATAATTCATGTTATTTGAAGCCACTGAATTGTTGGTAACTTGTTATAGCAGAATACCACTTGCCTCTGAACTTTAGTCTTCACCCCTTTTTTGCAGTACTGAAGACCAAGCCTCGATCAAACCTAGGGCTGCATGCTACCACTGAGCTAACCCTCACCCCCACCCCATTCACTTTTTAAATGGCACTTATGGGTGGGTATGGTGATGCTGGCCTGTAATTCCAGGTACCCCAGAGGCTGAGGAAGGGAGGAAGACTGGGTTTGAAGAAACCTGGGCAAAGATGAAAAGAATCTAAATGGCACTAATAAAATGGACTCTTTCCAGCGATGCAGCAGGTGGGCCTGTTGACATGTTAGGGTCCCTTCCCTCATTCTTATCCTGTCGATGAGCAGGGGGGAAACACCTGAGGGCATTAAAACAGGAATGAGCAGCCAGTGTATTTAAAAGGATGGCGAACCCCTTCCTCTTATGGTCTATTAGTAGTAAGTTAAAACCAAAAACACTGTCATTCCGTTAAGCGAATCTAAGAAGTAGACTTTTAATGCTAGTGTTGGAGGTAGCCATAAACTTTGTGAACATAAAATCAAAGTAAAATGCCAGCCCTGAAGATGGGGTGGGAAAAAGCAGCATGAAAGCAGGAAGACTTTGTCAAGACGCTTGTTAAGTCTAAATTTTTGTTTTGTTTAATAAAGCCTGAGGTCTTTAACACCTGGACAATCCAGGGGAAAGTTGCAGCAATCAGTCCGCTTTGAAGATTTACAAGAAGAAATTTTGCCAAATTCTAACAAGAGTCTACCGGTCTCTGCCCGGTGTCATTTTATGATACCCAAGAGTTCTATGACATTAAAAATACTCAGTGAAAATAATTTCCCTACTCTAGAGATTTACCTGAGGTCAAGTTCAACATCTTGATCCTGGTAAACAACTGAGAAGAGCATTAGGGACAAAAGGAAACTGCTTTAGCATTGTGTATTACTAATCAGTAGCTATAATTATTTTTTAGCATCTCTCAGAAGTTTTCTTAAAAGGGTTAACTGTTCTCTGAGTCTTCTTAGGGGCAGAAGAACTGAGTGTGAAACTTAAAATATCAGCATGTACATAGGGCTTTCAAAGGATTTCATGGGCGTTATATATACCCAAGTGAAATAGTAAGTACCTGTCTTTTCAGAAAAATAATCTGAGTTTCCCTTGTAGGAATCTCAGTGTATAGGGCTTCAGTGCAGACTAGGAAAGAAAAGCATTTCATTTCTAGAACATGGATTGGTTTCACTGGGGAAAATTAGAGAAAGAAGCATCAGGGGTTAGAAATAGAAATGGTGGCTAAAGTGGAACGGCAGAGAGCACAGTAAGAGAGAGAAAGGGACTCCGGTCTCAGGACTGTCCTTCCATATTCCCAGCTGGCCCACAAAGGGCTGCTGGCCAGGTGCTGGGGCAGGGTTTCCAGGGCCCATGTGCAAGGATTAGCAACCAATCTTTAAAATAAAAGAGCAGGAAAGGGTTGGCCATGTGGCTCAGGGCTCTGGTGCTTGACTAGCATGCACAGATGTTGCAGGTTCGAACCCCAGCTATGGCAACAAACAACAAAAACTATGAACAACCCTCATCTCAAAAGAGCAAGAAAGCCTCAAACCTTTAGGTGTGTGGACAGCCACTGTGAGAAATAAAAATGCTTCAGGATCTCATTCTTTGCGCACAGCTTCTATGCTGTGATTCTTTCCTTCCTCCATTCACTTTAATAAATTTGTTATGAATTTTTCTGCTATTAAAAAATGTAAGTGCTTCTGAGCATGCATCACATCTGTCATATAACCAAATGAAGGGTCTGTATAGAAGGACTGACAACATGGAAATTACCCACGTAGCCATTATTATTGGTTGCAAAATGTTCTTGATATTCTTATTACTGGTTTTTATTTATTGGTTTATTTTCCTGAAAGTTCAAAACAAACATTCTCCTAGGGTTCATCAATCTCTTCTTCCTTTGTTAGTCGTAGATTCTTCAAATGCACAGCCTCCTGAACTGGGATTTCCCGTAGTCTAATCATTCTGCTGGAGGGCAGGTGCCTTACTTGGCAGACACCAGCGTGTTTGGCGTTCTCTGCTCAGCTGCCCTCGATGCATCGACCATCAGGCAAGAGCCAGGGCCGGGCAGGTGACCGCCTAGTGTCACAGAAGCCTCTCAGAGACGTGTGGCTTTTTGGCTCAGCTCTGCCTGGAGCACCTACCCAAACAGCATTTTGCTTTCTAAACACATGCTAGGCCTGCGCCTGTGGCTGTAATAAGGCCTGATCCAGACATCGGAGGAGCAAAGGCCAGGCAGACTTGGCAGCCAGCCCAGCATTTGAGCTTTCAAAGGAGAAATACAAGAAATAGCTTTTAGTCAAAACAATGTGTGACCTTGGGGAAGTCACTTTGCCTTCTGAACCCCAGTGGCCTCGACTACAAAAGATGGGAAGGATAAAGTAGGATTAGTTCAGTTGCTTTCTTTTTCTTTTTTAAGTGCTCTACCACTGTACAGTACCCCCAGCCCTTCATTGCTCTTTAATGTACAATTAAAATGCTCTTTAAGTAAAATCTTGCCCCAGCACCTATTATATACTGATGTGATTGACAGTCCATTCTAATTGGCTGAAAGTGAGGAAAAGCCCAGGAACTCCCAGCTCTAGCTGGGCCTCCCCATTCCCCACAGTTGTCCGCAGCCTCCCTCAGAACAGTTCAGTGATCAGTTTGAAAATCACTCACTTTAATCTCTTCCAGACCTCAGATATCACCTTCCTGTAATTGACCTTTCGTCCTGACTACAGAGGATAGAGGTATTTCCACCTTGAGGTCTTTAAGGGTTTGATAAACTCTGGCCCGGTGTTGCTTCGAGGTCGTGTTACTTGTCAAGGGTTCTCATTAAAGTTATAAATATAAGTTTTCTTCCAAAGGTCAAGTTCAAGACACTCCATTATCTCAACAGAGCCGGAAGAAGTTCACATCCTGGAGGATGCTAATCTGCACTCTAAGCGGTCCTCTTTCATTAGAAGTAGTATCAGAGCTCATTCTCTGAGGCCTGAGAGATGGAATCTATATAAGATACAGACTCAGTTGTATTTTAAAACAACTTTAAGATACTTTTATGGAGCACACAAGCAGCAGTATTTCCTTTGCAATGGCTTGCCAAAGGACAAAAATGACAACCATGCAGTTTAAAGGTCTTAACTGGCTGTTTCAAAATTCTAGAACCAGACAACACTATATCTTCTAAGATAGAATGAGTGTTCCGACTGGCCCAGCAGAAGTTGGTTTAATAGAAAGAAAATGGCTTGAAGAAAGCAGAAACAAAAAACAAAAGTTAATTGGTCATTTTAAAGTTGCTTGCCTTGTAAGGCTGGAGTGGAGGGCTGAACAATCAGGAAAACAAGGGATTAATTAACATGAACTTCTGGGTGCTGGTTTTTGTCTAGGGATGAAGGTAGAGGGAGTTGCATTATCATGCCAATTGCAGCTGGCCTGTTTTGGAAATTTTGCTGCTTTCTCTCCAATCCTGATTTCTATGAATGTCAGCTAAATGGCTTCATTTTGGTGGAACTTTGACCTGAATGACTCCATTTTGATTTGACCTGGTCTGTTGGGGCCTAGGGCAGGAGCTTGATCCAAAGCAATGGCCTCCTGTAATTTTTATTTCAGAGACTTTGCTTTACAGCAGTTTTGACAGACTAATGAGAAGAAAGCAAGGATGTAGTGTGGACTCACCTGGAAAACAGAAAAGAGGCTAGAGTTAGGGCAGGCCTCAGAGGTAGGTGGTAGGACCTCGGCCCCCGGAGGTGAAGTGGTTCAGATTGAATCTGGAGTGCACCACTGCTTACTACCTGAAAATTTGCACACCAGTTACACGATCTGCATGAGCCTCAGTTTCCCCCACTGCAAAAGGAATAACGGTATGAATAGGAGGATTAAGTGAAGTATTGTTGATGAGATCTGAGAGCAAATCAGATCACAGGCTGGCAAAGAGATTTCTCAGTGAGCTCTTAGCCACCCTAATGATA